ATTAGAAAACGCTCCAATAATAGTCATGTCACTCTACTGGGCCTCTGCTTGTAACAAAAAGGTAAAAGAACAAGAGGAAGAAAGAGAAAGAAGGAGAGAGAGACAAACAATGAGCTCAGAGGGATGTGAGAGCATGAATAAAAATGCAAGCTCATTCTGCGTTTCAAAGAAAACCTCAAGTTCAACTCGACTCACTTTCTCTGCTGCCTGCAAGGTGACTTACAACCAAAATAAAACTATTCTTTCTTGAGATGGAGCCACGCTGAACCGAAGGCATCCCAGAAGACAATGTGCTAGATTCTGCTCCTTGTAAGACCACATCGAGGCCAGGCTATTTTCGAAACACAAACCTCAGGCTACAGACCTGTTTCTGTGCTTAATTCTGATTCTAATTCAGTGAGTATGCTATCTGTCAAGTCATGATGAAAGTGTTCCACTTTCTTGATGGACATAAGCCATGACTTGAGTTAATTGTACCTCATAAATGGAAGTGTAGTTTATTTCTCTGGACCCGACAGTGCTTCAGTTGATTACACATGTCCTTGAACTCCCTCTGAACATGACGCAGGTGGCATTTGTGAGCCTGGGTGTCACTGATGAGGCTTTGTCACATTAAGCCTGCTCATCCATCATACAGATGCATCCGCACATGAAAATACACACAGCACAGTTAGGGATGGGGAATTGATAAGATTTTATTAATGGGAATTGATAAGATTTTATTGATGGGAATTGATAAGCATTTATTGATACCTCTTTCTTTATTTCTTTATCAATTCTTTATAAAGAATTGATAATTCTTTATAAAAGAAAAAAAAGGTAGGCTTTTACCTCATACTCACACTTGACTTAGTTTTGGCTATACAATATAAACATGAGCCTATAGGCAATAGATGCACTTTATTATTCATTTCCCTTCAGAAAGTTTCAAATATAGAAATACTATTTATACTATGGCTTGGTTGAATAGGAGAGAACAAGTTTGCCTGATTGCTCTTCCTGCAATTGCGCAATTTGCGGAGCCCAATGCAACTTGCATTGTGAGCATACAGGCCCACGCAGCTCTGAGAAACAGGCAGGTATTGATAAAAGGAATCGATAAGCTCGGGGGCATATGATTCCAATGGTTTGGACAATTTGGAACCGATTCTCAACTGGATCCAGTTCTCGATTCCCATTCCTAAGCACAGTCATTGCTTATCGCTTGCGTCATACTCCATACGGTAAATTCTGCCCACATAGATAGCACATCTTCCATACCATAAAACCTGAGCATGCCATGTCATTCATAAGGGGCCTTAAATAGATGAGCAACTAACCAGAGCGGGATGCATCTCAACCCCCCCCCCCCCCCCCCTTCTATTTGTACCCATTTCTCTTTACTATAAGATTTATTCCGGTTAGAGGGGCAAGGACATCTATTGCAGCCTGCTGAAGGTCCAGTGTGGCAACATTGGCGCCTGTAGATCACTGACTATCATGAACCTGGTTGACAGCTCACTCTGAGTGGCTGGTCTGATAGAGAGTGAGGTCCCAGGCCCTGCTCTGTCATCCATCACGCATCCTTCAATCCCAATATGTGCTCTTCATCAAGGCTGGGGCAAGGATGAAGGAGACAGGCTGTAAAAGATGGCATCCAACCCTCCCCTGTTCGTCCTCTTAGCTCCACCGTCACTCATTTTTATTACCTCTGATGAGCCGGCGGTTAGCGGGCTCATTAATAAACGGCGACTGGAATCAGACATTTGTCGAAGTTTGCAAAAGTCTATTCTCCCTGCCTTCCACACATGCACATATTTTCCACCTCAGCAGTTGAGCTCAGTTGGGAATACTTAAACATGAGCGGACAGGATAGTGAAGATGAGAGAGAGAGAATAAGCAACTACAGAGTGCACTCATGTTCGTGCCAGTGAGCAGTGTGAAGTTCAATCTTTTAACAGCTCACCTGTGGATGTGTCTCAGTCCACCTTAACGCCTGTCCTGTACAGATGAGACAAACCCCTCATTCTTTGATTGGGTTGTTCAAGGAAAAAAAGAAACTGATCGGGCAACAGGGAAATAGTATCAGTGATTTTATTTCAACCTGTCAACAGTGTTTTCTATCTCTCTGCGAGAAGTTTAATGGTATTTTAGTTTAGCTGAATGTCTACTGGTTCACGTACAGTAGTAGCACCTCCGTGCCTCAGGAGCAGAGAATGGGGTCATATTCCTGGAAGGAAACTTAGTCCTCCTCTCTGCTATTCCAAAGCACTGTTAAAGTTTCAGTGTTGCTGTGATTTCCTCGGTGAGGGGGCTGCTCTGGACAGTATCTGTGGGTTTTGCAGCACTGTCTGTGGGTGCGGAGGTGTTGGTGTAGCAGGTTATTCAGCAGCCTGAAAGAGACACTGAAATACTGATAAGTCCCGCAGGAGAAAAGGCATGTGGTGATTAATTGCACTGGGTGTGTGGAACCCTGATTATCTGCTGCCTGTTAGTGTGTGTGTGTATATGTGTGTGTGTTTTATGGGGTAAAAACACTAAGGATGCTTGTGTCAGGCAAAGGCTGGCCTAGTGGATAGTGGATCTGCTCTTTTTGGCTTTGGATATGTCATAAGCGCTTGTGGCCAAGGTTATGGGCCCCACTAAGACAGTGTTTCAGGTTTTTTTTCAGCTGAACATAGTGTTGTCCTGATAATTCTATCTGCAGTTCTCTAGAGTGAGTTCATTTATTTAAGTCCAGATACAAGAACTCCAGAGTCATCAGATACGTTCTTACCAGTTAGTGAACATTTAAGTGTTTAAGTTCACATGCCGCCTCTTCAAACCCCGGACGGATGTCAACATCTAGAAAAAAAATTCAACATATTTCTAGACATATAAAAAGAAAAGAAATATGTATATGAATTTAAATTTGAAATTTGGGTGGAAAGACCAATAACAGTTCAGGCCACTTTAGAGAACAGTTCGCTGTAATGAAATACACTCTGTGTTTATGTGTGTAAAAGGGTTTTATGAATGAAAGTAAACCTACAGCCAATTATCAGCAGCAAATGGTTTTGGCTCTTTATTCCTAGTTGGCATCAATAAGGGTGAGTGTGTCGGGTTTATGAATACAGAGCAGAAATTTTCTGTAGTTTGCTGCTAGTAACATTGCACCCACACAGGTCTGATTATTACTCAGTAGTCAATAGAGCAGTATAGTCAAATGAATTCCGGATTCATTCATAAAACTATGCTTACATACAGTAGCGGTAGAGGTTTGCTTTACCTACAGTAAAGCTTCGATTTACATTCTCTTTAGGCTGTGATCTGGACCAAAGTCATTTTTAATGTTTTCAATCACTGCGCTCTTCTATTCTAATTATTAGTTTTCACCACACAACTTTTTTTTTGCTCATTTGTTTCAGTATCTTCTATTTCTACCTGCCCTTTTAAAGACTATTTCAAACAATTTGGACCCATGTGCCTCTAAAAACATGTGGTATTGTATTTTTTTTTTCTCTTCCTCGTGTTTTTGTTTGTGTTTGAGCCACAGGGAGACAAACGTGTGTGTGGTTCTTGATGTGATTTTTGTGAAGAAAAGCACTCGGTGTGAAACTACAGCACATGGAGGAGTCGGTGTGTGGGAGTCCATCTACGTATTTAGTAGTTTGGTGTATTCTTACTGGGAGTAGACACTGAGGCGGCACTGTAATCCATTCATGTTTCGGCTTTCTGAATAAAGCTGGCTGAGGTTTAGCTTCATGCAGTACAAGATTTTGATATTTTCACAGCATGAAAATGGTGGATATCAGGTCATCAGGAACAAGTCTGTGTGTTAGGGGAAAATGGGTCATGAGTTACGTGTGTTATGTGTGAATTTTTTTTAACACTATTCAGGATGCCATTTTACTGGTGAATTTACTTAAAATGAAAATTGAAAATAATTATGTTGGACATACATGTTACAAATGGATGGGGGGGGGGATTAAGCATTAGGGTGGTTCAATAGTTGCTCCTGATTAACAGCCTTCACTATAGTCATTTTCATTAAGTAGTAAATGTGTCAGAGAGAGGCATGGTACTCAAATCCATTAGGAAAAGAAGATACAATTTATTTGGGCTGATTCGCTTGTAGCTAATCCATCAACACAGAGAAAATAGGTCAATGATCGAAGCCAAGCAGGGACTGTGCCCAGAAGAGGACAGCTGCAGTAGGTCCAATACATACAGACAGAGACACAGGGCTTTTCGCAGGATCCCAGGACAGAATTCCTATAGACACACATGCAGAGTGATGGTACACAAGCTCTCATTAATGTAACCTACAGTAAAAGCATGACTTCATGAAAGTAAATGTGGCCACCGCAGTGTGACCTGGAGACCTGTGCATGCCTTTGCATCTGCTTGCCTAACTCATACAGTAAATGGGGTGGATATGTGGCGAAGAGGGGAGGGAGGGAGGGGGGCCATAATCACCCACCACCTGAAGTCAGTTCCAGCGACGCTGACTTGGTATATACAGTAGCAGACTGCACGCTTGCCTTGCAATCCCACAACCTCTTACTTCTCCACCAGCCGTACAATCACCTCATTTCAAGTGCAGCAGCTCCTGGTTCAGTGCCCGCTAAAAGCCTGCCATAACACTGATTCTGAACATCGAACTGTTCTTGTTTCCCTTTATCTTCCCTTTGTGCTATTTTATCACTTTTCCTTTTCAGCAACCAAGGATATATTTAACTGAGCCCCCACTGTTTTTTATTTGGTTGTGTTTACTTTGAATTATTTTGTGAGCTTGGTGTTCTCGATCTAAGCCTGTCTATTTCTTTCTTACTCTCTTCTGTCCCCCTCTTCTCTCTTACTTCTCTCTCTGTCACTATGTGACATAGTAATGTTATTTAAAGCTATTGCTGTTGCCAATGTTTAATGTCTTTTTATTTGCCTGTGTTTCTGCCTTGTGTTTTTGCTGTTGTTGTTTTCTTTTGTTTCTGTGTGTGGTGAGCTTTCTAACCCCAGTTCATTCTGTTATGGCATCACCGCAGTCCAGGATGACGCTGCCCCAGGTACCCAGGAGTACATTATGTTACGGCAGGACTCCATCCACTCCGCGGATATAAGGAGTAAAGGGTCCCCCTTTCGTGCTAAGTGTCACGAAATCTTCTGCTGCCCGCTGAAGCAAGCCGTCCACAAAGAGAGCACAGAGCCCGAAGGTTTGTTTGCACCCCCTCCTTGTTTTGATTTGCTGATGCTCCTCGTCTCCCCTGCCCACTCCCGTCTTGTTTTCCCCTCTCTCTCATATTCTGTGTGAACTGATAGTTCTCCGCCCCTCCAAACTAAGTTCTCTTTCATTCCTGTCCCATTTTTAGAGAGCATCTGGTGTGCTTCTGCCCCTTTCTAGCATGTGTGTGTTTGTGCACGAACGCGTGTATGCGTGTGCGCAAGTGTGAGTGCCTGTGTGTGTGTGTGTTTGAGCATAGTATAGGACTGAATGCTTGGGGCATGTTTGCTTGCAGAGAACCTGTAGGAGGGCACCTCTCCCAGTCCAGTGTGGTGTGTTCATATGAGTGTGGGTGTGTGTGTGTGTGTGCGTATGTGTGTCTGACTGTACACCCCTTATGTTGGACTGAGGAGCATAGCATCTGTAGCTCCTGCCAACCCCTCCCTACCCCGAACCATTAACTCGGTTGTTGCCACCCTGAGGCGCATGCACAGACCAAAACAAAGTGCAAGAAGAAAAGGGGTTATAGATAGAGGCAGCTGCTGCCCTAATGAGTTCAATGACTTGGCAATTCCACTATGTGCTTCCACTTCAACTGGCCTCATAGAACAAAAAAAGGTGTTACTCTTTTATCTTCCTGTCCTGAAGACTATGTGAGATTGAACAGTTTCATTTTCATGACTAAATGGTGATCTAGTCCGCTACAAACTGAAAGTGAGTAAGTCCCCCCCCCCCCCCCTTGTTCCCTGTGCTTCTGCCTGTGGCTCTATAATCTTAGTGGCTGCAGTCTACCCCCTCAGTGCTTCCTTCCTTCCTTCCTTCCCTCCGTCCTTCCTTCCCTGCTTAACTTTACCCCCCCCCCTTCCGCAACCTTGTTCACCTTTTCCTCTACCTCTTTCTCTTTTTCCTTCTTTAGCGCTTGCAGCAGCATGATGATATGCCCGCGCACTGTTTCAGCTTTTGCACAGTTAGGCCACGCAGTAAAGTTAAAAAATTAAAAATCCCTTTGTGCTCTAAGCATGCTACCATACCCTGCACTGTCTGGCACTCAGGCTCTCTGAATGCCTCATTTATCATCTATCCCTCAATAGAGCGCTAAGATTGTAGAAATTGCTTTCCTTTGCAGACTTCCTGATAGGTAAGATATGAATTATCTCACTACTGATGTGTTTTCTGCAATGTACTGCTCTGTCTGCTGTTGCATCTAAAAGAGGGCCATGTTTGGCACAGTATTTCTGCACTTTAGATATCAGTTAACCTGTTGAAGGCTGTCTGTGTAACTGCTGAAGGACTCAAGCACATGCACTTATCCTTGTGAGAGAGACAGAGAGAGAGAGAGAGAGAGAGAGAGAGAGAGAGAGAGAGAGAGAGAGAGAGAGAGAGAGATATAAAGAAGTGGAATCTCTAGCAGAGGTCTGGCTAGAGAAGTACAGATGTATTATTCAGTTTGGCTGCAGCTCCAGTTGGACGTGACTGAATTTACAAAGGAAGGAGGGGAGACTACAGCTCTTGCGTAAGCTGTTCGTGAGGACGTCATTAATGTTGATGCATGATGCAGATGGAAACTGTGTTAAACCATGTGTGGAGTAGGCTATACAGACACACAGCAACACACAACCTACAATACGTTGATGTATGCAAATATTTTGCCAGACGTTATAAGTAACACGTAAACACACACAACATACTAGGTGTTGATATATTTTTGCACTTAGGCTACATTTGTGGGAAAACTAGTATTTATTTTGAAAAGAAAATCAAGATGGTTGTATGTTTTGAGACATCTAAGCAGGAAAGCCAACCTCGTCACGTTGTTACCATGGCAACGACATTCCCACTGCTTTGTGTTGCACTTAGTGGTTTTCATGGCTTTCCATGGATTATAGATTCTATAACATGTAGCTACATGCTAAATAGAGTTTGTAAGTGGATTGCGGCACAGGCTCTTCAGTCAGGAACTCTGGTTGGTTGGTGATTTTCCCTACATAGTTTGATTACCTTGGATAGTTAATGACAGCTGTAGGTAAAAGCAAAATGCAGTGTTTCTGAGAGCGTTTCTGCAGTGTTCACCAAATGAAATTAGACTTTTCTTTTCAATACCTCATAGAATGCAATTCAATACTTTTTTCACAGTCATACTGGTCAAAGACTGATAGAAATCAAGCAATAAGGCATATAACATATCACATTTTTATCAATACTATCCAGCTCCATATAATAATAATCCTTTCTAATAATTAATCAATTAACATGACGTGGACCAATGTATGGATTACTGAACAGGCCTACAGGGCCAGGGCCTCTGAAAGTGTTCTTCTTGTGTGAAAGTCAAGTTTGTGCTAAAATCAATACTTCTCCATTACGAGACAATGAATTTCTGTCAACTGTTTCAAAACAGTCAAAAATGACACCAGATGTTATTGTCTCAGTACGTGAAACTTAAGACTTTTTAATAATCGTAGAAGGCCTTTTGTTTTTGATACTCAATGCAATGCTTTTGAAGACTTTTCAAGACCTGCAGATACCCAACTGTAAGATTTGATTGATGTTTGTCCAGTCGAGTTGCTGGGCTGTGCCTGCTACAGGTGATTCGCTGACAGTGGCAAGTTCTCAAAAAAAAAAAGGTGCAGACGTTCAGTGAAGATCTAACAAGGCTTTGACTGAATCAGTAATCCGCATCACTTCCCCTGAGTCTATTTCTTCTGATACATATCCCAACACTACATACAGGTGGCTGACACAGAGACCAAGGTATTGGTTTCACACGTCACTAGAGACGTGCTTCACAGAATAACACATCAACAGCACATGTTTGAGCTGTAGCACCCCGGAGGATGAGTTCAAATCATATCAGTTTATCTCTGCAGAGCTGTGGGGAGTGGAAAAACACAGACAGAGAGCACCGTCTGTGTTCTCTTCCTCCATCCTCAGGCCTGTGCGTGCTGCCTGCTGTCAATCAGTTTGTTCTCCATCTTACTCTCTTTGGTTCAGTCTGTGTCACCACCTCTCGATTCCTCTTCCCGTCTATTCCCAACTCGCCCTCTCCTGTTTCTGCTCTGCTTCTGCCTCTCTCTTTGGCTCTGTTTCGTTTCTCCACAGCAGAGACAAAAGACGGTGCCTGAGGGGCAGATCTGTGTAAATATCCCATCCATAATTCAAATGACTGTAAGACTTTGTGTTTCAGGCTATGCAATATATACACAGACAGACAGATATCCATGTAGAGATATACACACAGAAGTATACGGTGTGAGCAGTATGTGTATGTTTTCTTCTGAGTCAGTGTTTTCCTTGGTGAAGAAGTAATTTGCTGTGCATTTGTCATCCAATATTTGAAGTGGAATACTCACTATTAATTAGAAGTATTTTCACTTCTTCTGCACTGACGTAGAGATTGTGCTGGCCGTGACTGAGAGGAATTTAGATTTAAGAAGTTTTAAAATGCTGAATGACTTCATTTGACTGAATCACAAAAATGACAGAGACCGTCTGCTCTTGAATCATATATCATCAAAATAAAAAGTATAACCAGGCCAATATGAAACTTTGTTTAAAAAGCTAAATCAACTTGAGCTATCCAGCCACCACTTAAAGGGATAGTTCGGGTTATTTGACATAGGGTTGTGTGAGGTAGTTAGTCCGTGCAGTTGTGCGTAGGAATACGGTAGTTCAACGTTTAAGAATATGTAGTACCAAAGGAAAGGGCTGTTTGACGGCCAGATAAAGCTGTGAAAATATTCAAAAGAAAGCGTAAACTTCACCTGATATTGGCCATTTTTTTGAGTGGCTAAAACACGTTTTTTCTGCTGCCCCCATCCACAGCAACACATCGCTCAGCTTCTGTGCCGTTACTTGTGTGTACTTCTCCAGAAAGGGAGTGCACCGATCTGAATATACTGCTGGTAATACACTGACTTAGGTACCTCACACAAACCCACGTGAAATAACCCCCACTATCACTTTAACCTATTATGGCGTTACGCAACTGTGAGCACTAAGGTGCTCTAGATCTAAAGATCCATAGCAATATAATGAAATCAGCAATGTGACTTCTCTCTTACAGATAGCCTTCTATCTGTAATAGGTTCAGCACCTGTGTTGCACAACAGTCAGGCCGCTATCCAATCTGTTTTAGCCTTATTGACAAAATAACTCATCTACTGCCTGCTCCGCCAAGAAAATGTAAGCACAAGTGCAAGAGGAATGAGACGCAGCCCCATCCATTTCCCACACCCAATGTAAAATGCATGGCAGTGATTCACCACAAAGTTGACACGGCGCAATTACATTTAAGGGGACCAGTGTCGCTCCTTATAACAGAGTATGCCTTTGCAATGTCTCACAGAGTCCCGCACACCACTGCAATGTTGACAAGGGACAAACACGCAGCCTCAGGATGCACTCATGCTCCAATTAAACAGCTTGTTTAATTTTCTTTTTTCCTTTGCAGTCTGTCTTTCTGCATGAAAGCAACAACTCTGTTTGTCTAAGTCGATGCATAAATAGACTACGCATGAATAAATAATGTGTATGATGATGTGGTTTGGTGCCTGGAGAGAGTGGGCTGGCAGGAGAGTGTCAATGTCACATCTGCACTGTAAGTTCAGCTGCGCTTACCTGACCTCTCCGGTCATCTGCAAGAGCTTAAGAGTGCAATTTGCATCATATAAAAGTTTACTCGTAACCAGATGGTCAGTGAATGAAGAATAAGCTTTAAGCCCTGATCATAAGAAGAGCAAGAGAGACAATATCTGTATCAAATAATAGCACATGTTTGAAGGAGTGGTGCTTTAACAGCCTGCATGTTCCATTGGTGTGATATAATCATCACCCTATCAAGAATTGTCATCTGTAAGTGCAAAAAAAAATGTCATCATACACACACACACACACCTTTACATATTGATCTCCTGAGATTTATGTAGAAATCTGATATAGTGTTAATTTCTGGCTCCTCTGGGGCATAAACAAACAGCAGGAGTGGGTGTATAT